AACTCCCAGAAGCAGTATGTCGATCGTCAGCAACGAGATCACTCAGTAGCAGTCGGAGATCAGGTGCTTCTTGACACGCGCAACTTGAACCTGTCTCACCTACCATCCAAACTCCGGCCTCGCTTCTGTGGTCCATTTCTCGTGGAGGCACAGGTGACACCAGTTACATTCCGCTTGCGCTTACCAGATACATGGAAGCTTCACAACGCTTTCCATGTTCAGCTACTGAAACCCTACAAGGACCCCAACCAACAGTTCCAGGGACGGCAGCTACCGCCACCACCACCTGTACTCGTACAGGATGAACCAGAGTACGAGATCGAGCGTGTTCTCACTCATCGGCGCCGCGGCGGCAAGACCCTCGAGTTCCTGATACGCTGGAAGGGATACGACCCCACTGAGGACAGTTGGGTGCCAGAAGCTGATATGGGCAACGCACGCCGTGCTCTCAAGGACTATCTTGTCAAGCAGGGTGTATCTCACGCCACCCAGCTTTGAGGGGGGGACGTGTGAGAGTACGACGGCTTATGCTGGCTTTGCTAGCTTGCCTTTACTTTATTATGCATTATCTAGCTTAGCTTTGCTTGATTTTGCTTGCTTTTGCTAGATTTCCTAGGTTCGTTGCTTTTACTATAGTTATTATAGTTATAGGCACCGAACTAGGTTGCGTACACCGAATTCTAGGCTTTTCGGTTGCCACTGAATTGTCTTCTACCGAATTCGGGAAGGGTTTGTTCGGGACGCTTCGCGACCCTCGGAACCTTCGTGTAACAGCTGGTTACCTTCGAGCCTATATATAGCCTCGCCTTGTACCCAGGTGAAACATTCAATTCAAACTCTCTTTTCTGAGTTCGATCCTAGATCCTCACAGTTGACCCCCACGTGCAGTGGCGGACGACAAGTGGCGAGAGACGGAATGGGACCCATACGAGAACGCGGTCACAGACGACACGGTGAAGGTCATGCGCAACCGATTGCGCAACCAACTGCACTGGTGGATATCGTGGTGCGACAACAGTTTTATTATCTCAATTATTGCCAGAGGATATTGGCTGCCTTGGAAAACAACAGAACCGCCACCCTTCGAAACCACAAACCACGCGGGTGTTCACGCATACACCGCGTTCACTCGTGAGGCCATTCGCGACCTAATCACATCGCGTGCGGCAACAAAGGTCTCCTCGCGGACTGCGCTCTCGTGCGTAAGCTCACTCAATGTGGTGGAACAACGCGACAAATGTCGCCTCATCCTCGACCTACGCAAGGTCAATCAACACCTCCAAGTCCCCAAATTCAAATACGAGGGTCTGAATCGGGTCTCGGTTTATCATTCGACGCAACGACTGGCTGTTCACCATTGACCTAAAATCGGGCTACCTCCACGTTGAGATGCACCCATCGTGCTCGAAGTTCCTAGGCTTCCAATTCGAAGGCGAGTTCTACTGCTTCCGAGCTTTGCCGTTTGGACTGGCAACAGCACCTTTCGTCTTCACCCAGTTGATCAAGCAATTGGCCAAGCGTTGGCGTGCGTGTGGCGTGCGCGTAGTCCCATGTGTCGACGACTTGCTATTCCTCGGTGACTCCGTGGAGCAAGCACGCAAGACATGCACAGAGGTCTTACGCGACCCGGGGGCCGCTGGTTTTGTGATCAACGAGAAGAAATCACGCCTCCAGCCGGCCCAGCAAACACGGTTTTTGGGGATAGAGCTTGACACGACTCGCGGCATAGCATCGGATCCGATCGGAGGGCGCAGTTCCTAGACACGCTCCACACACTCATCTCTAAAGGGCAATGTGGCCAACAAGTCTCAATTCGGCAAGTCGCTCGTATCACCGGAATGTTGAGCTCCATGTCCCTCGCATTGGGCACGACGGCACGCGCCTTCAGCCACGAGCTGCTACAATTGATTGATGCAGCGGCATCTTGGCACTCAAGGATCTGGCTGCCACGGGCCGCCATTGAGGAGCTAATCTTCTGGCGGCTGCACTTCGACCAATTAAACGGTGCCCCATTTCACCAAAGCCATCAATTCGATGCTGTGATCCACGTCGACGCGAGCGCGCACAGCTGGGGCGCCACCCTTACAAAGTTTACCGACGCGTCGTATGAAGCAAGCGCCAGCATGCCGAGCAAGCTGATCCCAACCTCAAGCACTCAAAGGGAGCTTGAGGGAGTCCTATGGGCGCTACAGACATTTGCATCCCACATCACCAGCGGCCACGTTTTGGTTCGCGTGGACAACCAAGGCGTCTTTTTTATCTTGCGGAAAGGGGGGTCCAGCCAACCTCGGCTGACACTGACATGTCAAGCAGTCATACAGTTCTGCCTCAAGAACCATACACGCCTAGCGATCGAATGGATCCCAAGGGCGTTAAATGCCCACGCGGACGAACTGTCTAAAATCCAAGACCATGACGACTACGCGCTGCACATGCCATGGTTTCTTCTGCTGGAACGTCGATGGGGTCCCCACACGATCGACCTTTTCGCAAACATCAGCAACAAGAAGCTGCAACGATTTTGCTCCAAGATACCGCACCCAGGTGCCACAGCAATTGACGCTTTCTCGATCTCGTGGAAAGGCGAGCGCTGCTTCAGCTTTCCGCCCCCCGGCTTGATCCCGGCCACACTCGCTCACGCCAGGCGCACACAAGCCGAGTTGACACTCGTCGTCCCCAAGTGGCCGGGAGCAGCATGGTGGCCGTTGCTACAACCCTCCTACAGAAATGGGCCCCAGAGGTGGTCGCATGCTTGCCCCTCGCTCAAGGAAGCCAGTGCCTTCGACCCGGCTCGCACGCAACAGCATTTTCCGGACTCGGCCTACCACATAGCCCTATCATTGCCCTGCATGTAAAATATAATACGTAACTAATATTCGAATGTTACATCTTTCAGGATTGTTGACCAAGCTTCAAAACCAGCTGTTACAAGTTATAAATGATGTTCGCGCACCGTCCACGATCGAGACATACCAGCCCTACTGGCTCAAATTTCGCAACTTCTGCACTCGAGTCAAGTTTGCATTCTTGCCAGCGACGGACCTCGCGCTAGCACTCTATCTAATCCACGCGCTGAACAACAAGGCAACGATATCAGCGGTCAACCTCACATGCTCCGCCGTGGCCTTCGCCCATCGGATGACCGGCGAGGCATCCCCAACGAACGGCCCGTTCACGCTGCAAGTACGAGAGTTTGCTAAGCGACATGGCCTCCGCCTGACAAGGTCCAAGGAACCTGTGTCACTCCATCAAGTGCAGAACATGGCACGACCCTACCTGGAATCAACGGTGCCGGCAGAATATAAAAAAGGCTTGATACCTCTCTTGATGTTTGCAGCATTCCTGCGCTACTCCGACCTGATCTCCCTCCAATGGAACGACATCCAGTTCGAAGAGGCGGCCATGTGGCTACTGATCCCATACTCCAAGACGGACCAAGAAGGCAAGGGCACGTGGATCCCAGTCGCAGCGTCGGCTGGGCCCTACTGCGCAGTAAGATGCACACGGGAGTTCATTCGCATCGCAGGCCTTGCAGACATGCCACACGGGCCACTGATCCGGGTTTTCAACAAAAGGGCACAAGCATCGCCGCACGACAAATCGCCTTCATATCCAACCATCCGAAGCTGGTGCCTCGAGGCTTGCAAGAAGGCAGGGCTCGACGCCACGCACATCGGAACCCACCGCAAGGGCGCAACAACAGCAGCAGCAACTTTAGGAATCCCCGACCGGCTCTTCAAACAGATGGGGCGATGGCGAAGCGACGGTGCGAAGGACCTATACGTCACCATCGCCCAAGACCAACTCATCGACCCCTCCACCCAGCTGCAGGACTCCTCAGCAGCCCCATCGCCCGTCAGGCACCAGCGATCATTGGAGAGGCACCGCCGACCCAACATGCACCTGCCTCAGAAGACCCACTTGGAATGAAGCACGCTGCCTTTGCAAGATGGACTAAGCAAGCTTTCACAATATTACAAATTTTAAATGTGTAACACTTTTTAACATTTCGTATTGTGAAAGCGAGGACGTGACCAGCACAGCAAAGGTAGCGGTTCGACGCTACTCACCCCTCTTTTGCCTACAAAAGAGGAACATGAGTTCAGTAGCTCCACCCACGTTCTTCATTTCCAATTTTCTAGTTTTACTTTCCCACCACCCACCCCATTGTGTATCATGGATGTACGAGAACGTTGTAATAACTTGGAATGAAGCACGCTGCCTTTGCAAGATGGACTAAGCAAGCTTTCACAATATGCCAGTAGTATGGAATCAGATTACGGGTGTCAGTACCGGTACTGTTCTCCGTATCTAGTATGCCAACCACATTACTTACATTGGTGGTCTTTAGGAGGGCATGCTTGGGTCTTAGCCTGAAGTTAACATTACTCAACACCCTAGTTACAAATAAACAGTTACCTAACTGTAATGTTCCTAAATCTGACAAGCGCTGTTGGTGCTTGGGGTTAGAATACTACAAGTGCTCCACACGGCCAGCCTGCTGCAGTCACCCCTCCTTTCCCTGGCATGTCCTTTTGAACTAATCAGCATGCACCCTCCGCTTCCACCAGCCGCTCTCGCACTGTGCTTCTGGAGGGCCTGTGCGTGCACGCATGGTTGACCCATGTGCTCTCATAACAACAACATACGGTAGAGCACCGAAACCTGTGCTGTGCAGGCAACAGCACGGGCCGTGTGGGTGAGTGGTATAGGTGGGAGAGAAGTAGACCGTGGGCAGCACCACATGCTTCCACCACCTCCTCGATGCCCACCCCCACACCCCACCTCCCCCCCCCTCTTCACCCTCCCCCCTTCCTCGGCCATTGAGAGGCGCAGTTGCATTGAGCCGTGCGGCAGTGAGCGGGCAGTGCAAGCAAGCAGGGCAGCGCCCTTCCAGCACACAGGCACCTCAACCCACCGCCGAGGCGAGGGGCTGTGTCCCCCCCTGGGAGCAACTTGCCCCCATGCTGTTGCAGTGTGCAGCGCGGGCAAGGCATGTGCTAGAGGGAGGTGGAGAAGGGCAGCAGTGTGCTGTTGAAGAGGAACGACTTCTGCATGAGACGCTCCACGCCGTCCGGCGCCCAGTGGTACGTCGGCATCGTGCACAGGTCCTCCCTGCCACCCCCCGCACACACGCAGTGCACACACGGATTGCACAGACGGAAAGAGGGGGGTTGAGTGGCATGTGGGGGGGCTAGCAAGGGACAGCATGGCAGAGGGCAGTGATCACGCAAGACCCTTTGACCTTGCACAATACACAGGCACATGGCCTATCGTGAGATGGGAGGGAGAGAGGAAGGAAAGGAGTGAAGTCACGTGGCACTGCGGCAGCACCCGACACGATTCCCACCCACAGCCTCCTCCACACACGTTGCGGCCGTGTAAGCAAGGCGCGGGTGAGGAGGCAGAGGGCGGGGCAGCGCGCACCTGTGGGGCAGCAGGAACTTGGCGTAGGTGGAGCGCACGGTGGAGGCGAGGCGCTGGCGCATGGTGCGACGGCAGTCATCGTTGGTGAAGCTCCAGTCCTTCTGCTCCAGCGCCAGCTCCTCAAACGCCGCGTTGAACACACGCAGCCTGCCCGCCCCCCCCCCCCACACAGGTGGCCGTAGCGCAGACATGGAATAGCGGTGATGGGTGAGACAGAAAGGGACATGGCATTGCAGGGAGGGTGCAGCAGCGTGTAGCATGGGTGGTTCAAAAATTAAGACGGTGATGATTGCGTGCAGTGCAAGTCCACCAAGGCTAACCCCCTACCTCCCGCTCACCTCCTGATGACTTCGTTGTCGTCGATGCTGTTGCTGTCGCCCGGCCCCAGTGCGTCCAGAATCTGCCCGCCCCCAGCACCACGGCACAGCAGCGCAGGGCATGCGCAGATGGGCAGGGCAGTGGGGTGGAGAGATGAGGCAGCAGCACGGAGAGTAGCGGGGTGGGAGCATGGGAGAGAGACATGGTTGTGTGTGAGAGAGCATGCAGGTACAGGGTGCAGCAACAAGTGCAAGCGCGAGCGGCGACGTACCCTTTTGAGTGCAATGCTGACAAAGGTGTCGGTGTGCTTCTCGAGCGCTGCACTCAATGCCACGGCGCTCGGGTGCTGGTGCCTCTCCCTGCCACCCCCACAACAGCACGCGGTAAGGAGCCTTGCGTGGATGAGCCCGGACCATGTACGCACGGGGAGACGTGAGACACGATTACAGAGCAGAGCGCAGAGAGAATTAAGACGAGCAAAAAAGAGCAAAGAAAAGCGAGAATATAGAAGAGCAAAGAGAGCAGAGAGCGAAGAGCAGGGAGAAGAGAGAAGAGAGAAGAGAGGTGAGAGGAGAGAGGAGCGTAGGAGCAGAGAGCAGAGAGCAGAGAGCAGAGAGCAGAGAGCAGAGAGCAGAGAGCAGAGAGCAGAGAGCAGAGAGCAGAGAGCAGAGAGCAGAGAGCAGAGAGCAGAGAGCAGAGAGCAGAGAGCAGAGAGCAGAGAGCAGAGAGCAGAGAGCAGGGGGCGAAGAGAAAGGAGCAGGGAGATGGACTAACGCGAAGGAGAGGAGGTAGTGGAGGTTGTTGATGAGGAAGATGGCGCACGTGATGTCGGACGGGCATGCGCGCCCCTTCACCTCAATGTTGGCCTGCACGCCCTCCAGCAGCCGCCCTGTCTCGCGCTCCACACTCGCCCCCTCCTCAAACTCCCTCAGTGCCTCCTCCAATATGCACCCGTAGCTGCCCGCATGCGACCTGGGGGAACACACGGCAGCATCCAGAGGGTGGGCATGGAAAGAAGAGGAGGGCAGAACAGGCATGGCGTGGCAGGGCTGTTTAAAGTTGGTGGGTAGACTCTCATGGGTGGGCCAGGGACTTTCTGTAGGATGCTGCTGCAGCTGCCTCATGGCGTGGTCACAGGAGCAGCCGTTGCAGCAGACAGTGGCAGGGCAGGGCAGGGCAGGGCAGGGCAGGGCAGGGCAGGGCAGGGCAGGGCAGATGTGGGCGGGTGTGGTTGGATTGGACCTGTCCTGGAATTGCTGGAGATAGTTGACGACGTAGCTGGTCACGGGGTGCACCGCCACACTGCTCGGCGCCCCCTCCTGCACCTCCTGCGCCTTCTTGCGCCCCGGCCGAGGCAGCCTGCCATGCATGCATGCACAAGTGCCAGCCACGGGGTGGCCCAGCACCGGCCAGCAAAGTGCGTTAGATGTGACGTGGAGAGGAGCGGGGGCACGGATAGGGTGGACAGGGAGAGCGAGGTAGGTGGAACAAGAGAGCTGCTGATGAGGACACGAGGAGAGTTGTCAGAAACGAAAGCAGGGGAGTGGGAGGTGTGTGGAGGGGGGGAGCGGAGGGCGTGACCTGAGGCGGGCGCCGAGGGACCTCTTGGGGGTGGGGGCGGGCGGCGCCTTGCAGCCCTGCTCCAGCATGGCCTGCAGCTCCGCCAAGCTCTTTGTCGCCGCCTCCGCTGCCCTGCCTGGCAGCGCCGCCCACGCTTCCGCCAGACTCGCCGGCGCCACCTCCCTCATCTGCCCATGGGGCGAGGGGCGAGCGAGAGGACGAGCAACACGAGGGAGACACAAGGAGGGAAGGGGGGAACAAGGAGAGAGAGTTGGGAAAGTGAGGAAGCGAGAGAGGAAGGGAGGGTGGGAGCGGGGAGGGATGCAATGCAGGTTAGGAAGGAGCGCAAGGAAGAAATGAAGGCAAGGAGAGGCGAAGCACGACGGTGCTCCTCTTCTCCCTCATCCTCCTTGTGCCACCCAGTAGCCACCTTGACTCTCACTCCTCGCTATTGCCCCGCGAAACAAAAGCAGCAATCCCTGTTGCTATGTGCGCCCCCCTACCCTCGCCGGTACAAATGCCATAAGTCCCCCCACCTCCCAAGCGCATGTGGCTCACATTGTGGGTGGTGGAGCGCAGCAGCCAGTACATGTCGAGCAGCACGAAGATCTTCTCGGGCGCGGGCGCCGTGTGCAGCAGCGCGCTGGCGCTGGCGCGCAGGTGGAAGAGCGCCGTCAGCAGCCCCGCCTCCACCATGATGTCCGCCAGCAGCGCCGTCGGCGTCGGCAGCTTCGCCGCCAGCGATGGCAGGCGCGCCAGCGCTGGCTTGGCGGGGCCGGGCGGTGCGGAGAGCGCAAAGGACGGGATGTCCTTGAATATGGCCGCCAGCAGCGCGCGCTCCCGCTGCACCAGCACCAACACCTGGGATGGCGGGGGAGAGGGGCAGAACGGGAAGGCGATGAGAGTACGTACGGTGATTAATTGAGTTTGCATGTACAGAAGCTCAACAGTAGATCCCAGTGGTTGACCCATGAATGACAGTGGTGGACCCAGCAATGGTATTGCTCCCACATTTTTTTTCATGCATACAGCCATCCATTCCTGCCCCTTACAATATCCACAATGGCCTTTTCAAAGAGTACATGCGTGTATAAATGAGAGTGCGAGCGTGCAAGGCAGTGAGAAAGAGGAAGATTGCGAGATGTGAGGGGTGAGGGGCAAGTAGCAGACCAGGGAGTGGGCCTGCGAGAGCCAGGTCTTGAACATGGGCTCCACGGCGCCCCACGCCTGCCCCTCCAGCGCACCCGCACTCACTGCCAGCTGCACGTCCGCCTCCTTCACTGCACTCCGCACCACCTCCATGCGCATGCCCCTGTCCATTTACACAGCAGGAGTTGGGAAGGGGAGGGAGCAGAGCAGATACATGGCATTACTCACAAAGGCCACGCGCACAGCACGTTGCCCCCGCACCTCCCATGCAAGTCTACTGCCCTTGGGGTGGGGGGCAGGCAGCAGCACACAGATGGTGCAAGCATGAGGCGCTATATAAGGCACAGCAGCAGCAAACACCACACAGGGACTGGGGCCCTTGCACCCACCTCGCCCTTCGACTCATGCAGCACAGCGCTGCACTCCCCACCCACCCACCCACCCACCCACCCACCCTTCCACGTGACGCCCCAGCTTCTTGACAGGGAAGCACGGGAGGCGCATGAGCGCGGAGGAGGGCAGGGCACTCACGCATAGCTGGCGAGGCAGTCCTCGAGGCCGCCCCGGTGGGAGATCTGCTGCACCAGCGCGCGCATGGTGCTGGCCTCGCGCTCCACCTCCACGCCCCAGTCGTCCTCTGCGCCCTCGCCATAGCGCATGCTGCCCAGGCGCCCACTGCCCAGGTGGATGGAGCTCGTCCTGCCCTCCGCTATGCTGTCGCCACGCGCCACCCACCCCTCGTCCGACTGGTCCTCGCCCTCGTGGTCCGAGTCATGGGGCTCGTCCTCGTCATCCTCGTCGGCGTAGATGGCGTCCAGCATGGGGTCGTCAAACAGCGAGTTCGCCACCGACGCCCGCGACGCCGTGTGCATGTGCCGCGTCCTGCCCGGGCCGCCCTCATGCGGGGGCGACTGGGGGTCGGCGGGGGCGGGGGCGGAGGAGGCGGAGGCGGTGGAGAGCACGGAGCAGGAGGAGGGCGCGCTGCTGACGGAGAGCGTGCGGCGGCTGGCCTTGCCCATGAACAGCAGCCCCGCCGCCCCGCGCGCCCTCTCCCCCGCAAAGCGCAGGCGGATGGCGGCCTTGGTGTCAACGGGCGGGTGGGGGGGCTTGGGGTTGGGGGGGGAGCCCGAGATGCTGGACGACGCCGGGAACACGGGCGGGCGCGCCTGCGGGGACGCTGCTGCTGGCGTGGCGGGCTTGGGTGGAGGGGACGGCGGGTGGATGTCGGCGAGAGGGGACGACTCGTTGCCCCAGAGGAGCGTGCTGCAGGGACGGGGGGGAGGAGAAGGGCGTGCATGAAGGGAGCACGCAAGGAAAGGTGGCTGCTTGTGTGAAGGGGACAGAGAAGGCAGGCGAGCGGAAGCACACATGGATGGTGAGCATGGTGGCGTGTGAGGTGCCTGCATGAGCATGCGAGCGGGGTGCGGGCGTACGGAGCATGGGCGTGCACTACAGGCTCATTGCGAGTGGCTGTGTGTGACATTCGTGTGTGGTGCTGCAGCTGCAAGCAGTGGCGTGCACGCGCCACATTCATTCTATTCCAAGGAGCACCAACCCATTGTGCACGCGCCACACCATCGTCTCACCCCAGATGCTGCGTGCCTTGTTCGAATCGCCTGAGCAGAACATCCATGCGCGGTGGCGACCCCTCCTTCTCCCCCTCCCCTTGCACCACCCCGCCCTCTCTCCCCCCGTCCCTGCGCTCGTCATCAGCAGGCGGGCTGCCGTTGTGTGAGGGGCCGCCTAGCCCAGCGGAGTGGGCGGAGGGGGAGGCGGGGGCTGGCGGGTGCGCAGCGGCCTTGGTGGGGTCGTGGTCCTCCGCCTGGTGGGGCGCCGCACACGGCACGGCGCAGAGGGGCGAAGGGAGAGCAGCACGTGCAGCAACGGGTGGGGGGGAGACGGACAGCACGTGAGGTAAGGCAGATGGCACAAGGTGAGGCGCAACGACCGGGAGGGGGTGTTATGGTGAGAGAAGAGAGATGGGAGGAAGGTGTGGATACGAGGAGGCGGAGGCAGAGAACAGGAGCAGCGCAGTGCTGCATGAGCACATGGCACATGGCACATGGCACATGGCACATGGCACATGGCGTGCAACACGCGCAATCGTGGTGGTCAGCACTCCCACACACCGTATCCAAGGCACCACCCACGGCGTTGCAGTGCACGCCCTCGCACCTCTCCACTGCACCACCTCCGCTCACTCACCTCCATTACCACCCCACACCTTGCTCTACGCCTCCCTTTTCCGCGTTAACATTTCCGTCGCCTCATTCTCGTCCCTCGCCGCTCCTAGCCCACCCACCCCTCTCCTTCCCGCACTCACCCCTCTCCTTCCCGCACTCACCCCTCTCCTTCCCGCACTCACCCCTCTCCTTCCCGCACTCACCCCTCTCCTTCCCGCACTCACCCCTCTCCTTCCCGCACTCACCCCTCTCCTTCCCGCACTCACCCCTCTCCTTCCCGCACCCACCCCTCTCCTTCCCGCACTCACCCCTCTCCTTCCCGCACTCACCCCTCTCCTTCCCGCACTCACCCCTCTCCTTCCCGCACTCACCCCTCTCCTTCCCGCACCCACCCCTCTCCTTCCCGCACCCACGCCTCTCCTTCCCGCACCCACCCCTCCCGCGCCCTCCCGCATGCGGCGCACTCACAATCTTCGCCATGCGCATCACCGCGTTGCCGCCCGAGCTCGTCCGCTGGGGGCGCGTCGACCCCCCGTCCTTGCGCCCGCGGAATGCCGCCCCCGGGGGCGGCTTGAGGCCGGAGGAGGAGGAAGGGGAGCGCACGGCGGGGAGCTCGAGCGCGCGGTCGACGGAAACCTCCGCCAGCTCCTGCGGCGGCGCGGAGTGCGTGCGGTTCATGTGGCGGCTTGTGCCCGACGCGTCCCCGGGAGTGCGGTCCAGGCGCGAGGGGAACTTGGGCAGCGGCACGATGCCCACCCCCCGGCCCGTCGCTACGCCCGGGCGAAGGGAAGAGGGGGACGGGTTGGCGGAGGGGGAAGCAGCAGGGGAATGGTCAGATGGTGGCGGGTGGCGAGGGGAAGGGTCGTCGGGGAGGTGCACGGCGGGGGGCTTGTCCGCCAGCCCCATGGCGCACGCGCTGCCGGACTCGTGCCCGCGCACGCCCTCCGCCTAGGGTAATCCTATTCGTTAACTACTGGATCAGGGTAAGATGAGAGGGCGCATAGCCCTTAAGACGCAGACGGCCTTTCCGTGATGGTACTACACGGGCAGCACCAGGGAAATGCCGCCCACTCACTCTCGCAACGCGCTGTTGCGAAACGATTTAAATAGGAGACGAGGGGAACGCGTGCGGTGGGATTGCGCTCGCAGTGGGAGGGAGCAAGTCAAAGCGTGTACGGCGGGCGATAGGTGGCACGAGAGGATCAGGCAAGCACGGATTACGAGTGGCATTCGTCGTGAGGGGGGAGAGGCGCGGCGAGGCGAGGGCACAGCGATGGCGAAAAGAGGCATTCCAGTGCAGGTGATGCCCGTTATGCTTGGCAATTTCAACGAGGGTGGACCAGGCAAGAAGATGAAACAAACGCTCCCATTGTGCTGATATACTCGCAGACGCACCCTATGATTGACCTTTTTTTCACCGAGAAGTCTTTCAGCAAGGGTGCGTGTCTTATGGTGTGGACATTCGAAAGAAGGTTGCTGGTAACCCGCTTCATGAATTTCGCGAATACTTTCGCAAGGGAATCGTGTGTGCTAGTTCAAACTCTCTGAAAGAAGTGGGACATTTAAAGGCAGGGTCTCAAGTGACCAAGTGCTTTGCAGTCGATGAAAAACGGGCCTGTCTAATTGGTGTACAAATTTGGGGCCAAAGTTTTGACAAGTCGAGACTCTCCAAAGAGCCCACGTTTCGCCCAAGTGCTTTGCAGTTGCACAGCCAACCCTTACATGAGTCCCTGGCTTTAAATAGAGTCCACCTGCGTTTGGAGTTTTATCCAATCGTGTGTTCTTCTGAACTATTACGGGTGCAATGGATCGAGGTAGCGAGGATTGCACTAAGTGTCAAACGAGTACAAAATGTGAGCGAAGGCATGAGCGAACATTTATACGCGAAACATGCAAACGGTAACGCGGTGCGTGCGAGCTAGCTAGTGCTACGCTGGCAGCGAGGCTCGGGCTAGTCCCGAAGCGTAGGCCGACACGGCAGGGCTGACGTTTCGTTTTGGGACTCCCTGATTCCGGTAAAAAATTTGGCCCTCTATTATGATGGCACATTTTTCGCAAGGCAGCCACCCTGATGGCTCTGTGTCAAACGAAGGCCTACTCTGACAGCTCAGGGTTCACTGCTCAGAAACAGGGTTTCTATTAACAATGCACTATTTTTCAAAATGGTACATCTGCCTGCTCTTTCTTTTCTTCCCTAGGCTATCTAGTGCACAGGCTTGTCAATGAAGTACACCTCCTCCACGTCTTCATCGTCCGACAGGAATGGATTGTCTTCCACTCCTTCCTCCCCCACGACCTCCTGATCGTCGCCGAAGGCCTGCTCCACCTCATCGTCCTCCTCCTCCTCCACCTCATCCTCGTTCTCTCCAGCATGTCCGGCAGCCTCATCTTCACCCTCCTTCTGCTTCCCCTTCCTCTCCCTCTCTGCCACAGCCAGCTTCAAGCTCTTCGCAGGGCGCCTCCTCCGCACAACCTCCACACCTCCAGCGCCTCCGGCCAGTCGATCTCATACTTCAGGAGCGATATCTGCATCAGCTCCCCCAGTCGCGCGTTGCACAGCGCTCCACGGATCCAGGACTTGATGACGTTCTGCCTTGAGAACCCCCTCTCACACTCCACGGTTGAGAGGGGGAGCACCGCCAGCACCTGCCAGGCACATTCGTTCACACAACAGAAGGGAAACAGCACGACAGAAACAGTTAGCAAACCTTTTGTCAGGCTGTTAGGGTCATTTACTCAAAGTTGGCCTACCTCTTTGAGTCTGGACTCCCGAGAAAGTTGGACAGGCCCTGGGAGAAGCTCTCCATCTCATGGTGGCTCTCCATGATGGCGAAGAAGGTCGGGAGCTCCCTCTCTGCTGCTTTGAGGTCGAATCCCGGCAGCTTGTTGCGGAACAGCCTGCTGCATCCGTTCAGCCACTCCTTATACTTCTTCTCCCGCTGAGCCTTGATCTTCGGCCACTTCGCCGCCCGGAACAGCTTAGTCGGCCCCAGCTTCCCAAGGTCATCCAGCCGGTCGTTCATGTTGTCTTCGCAATCCTTGGCGAATTTGCGGCACAGCTTCACGCAGTCTGCGTAAGTGCTCCCCTGCTTGTGTCCCTTCAGCTTCCTCTCATGCATGGTGTAGAGGTGGTTGATAGGCTGTCCAGCACCGTCCACGCCTCGCACCCGGACCTGCTTGCCTCCACCCTCCTTGTGGACCTTGAGGAAGTTCACCAGCCAGCTCTTCCCTTCTCCCCCGAAAGCCTTCTCAGGCGTCAAGTAGCTCTGGTGTTACGGGAGCAGCCGTAGCTCACAGAAAATCGAGCCCAGAACGCGGAGCATCGGCGGCTATCTCCGGCTGGGACGGGCCTACTGGTTTCGCCGGTACAGGTGGCTCGTCAGGGCCAGCCTCCGGAGCAGCTTCGTCGGCCGGCATGGCCTCCATGGCGGCGAGATTGGTGGCTAATCTAAGCGAGAGGGAAACGAGAGATTGAAAGCACCGAATGGAATGAAAAAGGAGGTGCTCGTTGGACTCACTGCTGGTGGTACAGGGAGGGAAGGGAAGCTTGGAGATGGTGGGGTTAGCAAGAAACCACCGCGCCACGCCATCAACGACTTGATGGCAAGGCCGAATTCATCCACGGGCTTCGTGGCTGCCACCGCATGCTGTCAAGATGGCGTGCTGGCCAATGGCCGGTGCATGTTGTGCGTTGTGCGGTGCGCGTGGCAGCACTGTATCATTGGTTTGGGTGCGTTGTCGGTGTTGCCAGCTGTGATGTACAGCACGGGGTGTGTTTCCTTGTCGGTATTACGTCACACTCCCGCGCGTGAAGGGGGTACCTCTGTAGGGCCACGCAAAGTAATGATGACCACCGAGGGGGGGTAATCGTAAGGAAGGTTCGAGGAAGCTTCCTTTCGATACCCTCACACGTCTTCACGGTCCAGCAAGCTGGAGTCACGCGAAGTAATAATTACGCACTAAGGGGGGTTATCGAGACGAAACTTCGACGAACCTTCCTCCCGATACCCTCGCATTCAGGGTCCAGCGAACGCATACTCTTCATAGACATAGTCGGCTAGTACACGACTCTGAGCCTAGTTACAAAATTTCAGAGTTCGTTAAGTATCTAATCTGAATGGATCAGAGTTCATAAAGTTAAAAATCTGTGATTGCAGGCTCCACCAAGTGACATTCCTGTAATCACCCTGAAATCAGGGTAATTACCCTGATAAAATCAGCCCAGCGACACGGCCGGGCCAGCAGTGCGAGGTTTGGCAAAACAGTGCGCGCGAAGTTGGCGAAGCCCCGTTAGCAGTAACGGGCGAACAACGGCTGGTGCTGTACGCGATGTAGCCGGACACTGTAAAGAATGTCGAGAAAATTCCTTACAAGCACATGGAAATATGCGAAGTTGTTACGGGTGCAATGGATCGAGGTAGCGAGGATTGCACTAAGGTGTCAAACGAGTTCAAAGTGTGAGCGACGGCATGAGTGAACATATATACGCGAAACATGCAAACGGTAACGCGGTGCGTGCGAGCTAGCTAGTGCTAGGCTGGCATCGAGGTTCGGGCTAGTCCTGAAGCGTAGGTCGACTCGGCCGGGACATCGGTGTATGGTTTGGTGAAATAGTGCGTGAAAAAGTTGGCGAAGCCCCGTTAGCAGTAACGGGCGAACAACGTCTGCTGTTGTACACGATGCTGCAAGTCGCGGTAAGGAATGTCGAGAAAATTACTTACACTACCCCCCTTCCAAGAAGCCCCCTCCGTTGCGCGAGTGCGTGTATATCGCGGAAACCTCGGTTTCTCAGGTACACTTGCAGGGCAGGGTGGTTTTCGATGTTGGCCAGAGGCACCTAGCTATCCTCAGTTGGCATGTGGTCCTTCCAGCGAACGAGGAACTCGATCCGCCTGTGGGGTGTCGAATCCGATGGCTCAGAATTTCTTCGGGCTCGATGATCGGCTCCGATGCAGGGTGAGTCATGGATGGCGGGCGGTGACGAGGCAGTTGGCTTGTGGTTGGGATGTAAGGGAAAAGCAGGCTGACGTGGAATGATGGGCTGATGTACTAGTCGGTCGGCAACAGTAGATGGGCAGTAACTGGCATGATCATGTGACTGATTTGGAACGGTCCACAGTTGCAGGGTCGGAGCTTTGGTACGTCGGCCAGTCGTAGGTTCTACGTGTCGAGCAGCGGTGGTACATGACTGGGCGGCGGTGGCGGCCAGCGTTGCGCTTAGCGATGACGCAGGCTTTTCAAATGCTTAGCGATGACGTTGGCTTTTTTTACGCGTGGTGTGGGGTTGTCCGGACTCGGCGTCATGGGCACTGTTGGGTGATGCCCGTAGTTCACGTGGAACAGGGACTACTGCGTCGTCGCTGACGTGGTGTTGCTCTAAGTGCGAATTTCTATAGGACAGACTCGACTTTTTAAGGCACATTATTTTAGTTGACGGAGTGGAAATAGACCCGAAGAAGATCACGACAAATCAAGCCTAGCACGCGCCGACAAACCTGACTGAGCTACAAAGTTTTTTAGGGTTCGTCAACTACGTGCGCCGCCCCGAGATGGCGAAATTGACTGCTCCGCTGACCGACCTGCTGAGGAAGGGGGTTGAGGACACAGAGCAAGCTGCCTTCTCGGCCCTCAAGAAAATTTTGTGCTCGCCGCCCGTACTTCACATCGCCGATCCGCATCACCCATTCGAGCTCGTCACCGACGCTAACGACATCGCCGTTGGAGCAGTACTGTTCCAGGATTTCGGGAACGGCATCCAGGCAATCGCGTACAAGTCCCGCAAGCTTCACCCACCCGAACGCAACTATCCAATACACGACCGCGAGATGCTGGCGATCGTTTACGTGTTCAAGGTGTCGCGATGTTACCTCACGGGAGCAGACGTAACCCTGAACCACGAATTGTCG